TTAGAACCTTTTAGCACAGAAGAAAAGTGTTATTCAGTGTGATAAATACCTTTCTGCCCAAAAGCAAAGAGCCTACAATGAATGGTCACTTTTAGCTCCTTATCACTGTCACTGTAACTGTCCTCCTGCTGTTCATCGATTTGCTCAAGCGGGTCCAGTAACCTCCTCCTACAAGTCTTGTTTTGTATCCCTCCTAACTCAGAGTCCCTCGCTGTATCGTCATGACACAACCCATTGAGAAACTCCATTCTTTTCCTTTCTATTCCTTGTCCCACAGGTGGCTATGAAAACTCCTATAAAAAGTGCTCTGTAACCCTGCTCAGGGGCCATGATTTCAGGCAATTGCCCAGTTGAGATCCATCTTGATGTTAAATAATTAAAACTCCTTGTTGTCTCACCTAAAGATATTTTCAGTGTGATTAAGTGAACTCTGTTACAACAATGCAAGACCCTGTTTCAACCCTCCGCACTGCAGGGTGTGGCCCATCCCCCAACCCATCAGCATTACCAGGTGTTCTTGGTGTCCACCAAGTTGTAGTGCCTCACAACAATATGCTTAGAACACCCCATACTTAGTAAACAATAAATGTTGAACAGCTGGTTCTTTATCTTTATCATTATGGTGGTTTCCACTGTCAAAGCTGTTCAAGTGTAAGCTGCCATCATCATTATCCATAATCATTTTCTTTTCTACAATACACAATCAAGTTCTATCTCTCTATTTATACTGTTCTGCCTGTTTGAAGCTAAGTAATAAGTTTCAGAATAAATATTATTTGGTGCTGCATTTGATCCTCCCAACCACACAGGCAAGAGAAGAAAGGGAAGAAAGATACCCTCTTCATTTCACAGGTAAACTTTTGTTGTAGCTGAAGTGTAGGAAGTTTAGTGATGGGTTCGAACTCGTGTACCTAGATCTTAGCAGCAACAAGGTCCACTCCTGTTACTAACTCCTCTTTCACCACTCTTCCCATTTTGGGGGGCTTTTCCAAAATACTAACCATAATAAAATATTTCAGTCAGTAGGTGTGACCATAGGTGGATTAGCAGGATGACCAGGATCAAGAGTGTAATGTGACTGCATTCCAGCAAGAGCTAATAAAGTGGGTCTCAATGACACCCTCATCAGACACGGTGTCACCATCAATCCATAGGGCACAGGAGCCCCCAGGTGTCATTATATTTTTATTGAGTTATCGTGAGATAAAGCATTACAAAGCTGTTCATGATTGTGTTTCAGTCATACAGTGTTCCAATACCCATCCCTCCACCGTTGTAATTCCGCGCACCAGTGCCCCCAGTTTCTCTCATGCCCCTTCAAGCCACCCCCACCCCCGGCTGCCTCTATGGCAGGTACCTCTCTTTTCTCTCTCTCTCTCTCTCTCTCTCTCTTTCTCTCTCTCTCTGTGTGTGTGTGTCTCTGTCCTTCTGGGTATTATGATTCGCAATATAGATACTGAAAGGTTATCATTTATATCCCTTTAACTACTTTCAGCCCTCCAACTAAATTTTTTTTTTTTTGGCTTTTTGGGTCACACCCGGCGATGCACAGGGGTTACTCCTGGCTCATGCAGGAACTACTCCTGGTGGTGCTCGGGGGACCATATGGGATGCTGGGAATCAAACCTGGGTTGGCCGCGTGCAAGGCAAACGCCCTACCCACTGTGCTATCGCTCCAGTCGCTCCAACTGAATTTTTAATGTAAAATCTTTCATGCAAATTTGATCTCTTCTTTCTCTCTTCTCTCTTCTCTTATCTTCTCTCTCTCTCTCTCTCTCTCTCTCTCTCTCTCTCTCTCTCTCTCTCTCTCTCCTCTCTTTCTCTTTCTCCTCTCATTTTAGGCATTATGGTTCACAATACAGATGCTGAAAGGCTATCATATAGATACATTGATAGGTAGATAGACATCCCTTTATCTATTTTCAACACTCAGTTCTTGTTCAAAGTGATCATTTCTAACTAGTAAGACCCAGAAATGCTCCAAGTGTTATTATCCTCCGAGCCAGTGGTGCACAGTCCCACGTGGCGTCCCTCAGCCAGATCAGAAAGATTCATCTTAGCTCACATCCCTCCCCCAACCCCACTGCCATTGGTGCCCTCAGAAACAAACTGCTCTGTTCCCCCAGAACAAATAGTGCCCTTCCGGACGCTTTGCCTTTGCTTACGCTACCCCATCCACAAGAAACAAATACCTTTCTTCCAACCTCCAAATGGTCTATTTTTTCCTGAAAACCCTGATTGAAAGCTATTTCCTCCATGAATTATAATTTAAACACATTACTTCATCCGCTCAAATAATCTCTGCCTTGGATTAAACGTAGTTAAACAACTTCTTATAAACTTATTTCAGAGGCTTTCTCTTCTTAGATCTGTAAGGCAACTTAAGAGTCCTGGTTTGAGTCTTTTTATTTCTCCACCCCCACAAAAGACAAAACAGCACCAGGTACTGAACTGAGGTTCAAGAATGATGTAGGGGTGGAGCTGGAGCAATAGCACAGTGGGTAAAGCGTTTGCCTTGCATGAAGCCAAGGGTTCAATTCCCAGCATCCCATGTGGTCCCCTGAGCACTGCCAGGAGTAATTCCTAAGTGCAAACCAGGAGTAACCCCTGTGCATCACCGGGTCTGACCCAAAAAGAAAGAAAAAAAAAAAAGAATGATGTAGGGGATGCATTGTGAAAGCTAAGCTTCAGCTCTACTGTACAACAGGGAACATGCAGATGGCAAGAGAGGGTCAAGGTATATATCCAAATTATTTTTTACTGTAAAGAGAACTTTACAGAAAAACTTTGTCAGATGCTGAATTAAAATTATTTTTAAAAAATTCTATTCAGATAGATTTCTGAATTCATGTCACTTGCTTACATAAAAGAAAGATTCAGAGAACAAAAGATCTCCATCAGTAAGCCCTTAAAAATAAAACTCTGTTCACAGAATAAGAAGAATTCCTAATAGATAAAAATTCAAAAAGCAAGGTGAGTCTTAGAGAGAATTATCATCCTTTTGTTTAAATCCACTTAACATGACAGACCATTCTTACTCTTAATCAATCTAGTATCTCAACTATTATTTGTTATCCATCTTGAAAAGAAGAAATAAAGCATATGAAGTGAGAATAAAAAGTCCTTTATTAAGCACAGTAAGCCATCAAATCTTGAATAAATCACACTATCAAGTGATTTTTTTTTTAATTTTAAAGGGACCAAAGGATTAGTGCAGCAGTCAGGGCACTTGCTGGTCAATAGGAAAAATATCATCTAAGCCACCATTTCACAACCAAGAGCTATAAGGCCCCCTATTCCAAAGAAATCACAGATTAAAATTTGGAAATGGGGAAGAGGGCACTGCACTAGACTTGGAGACCACCCAGCAGGATGGAAGTGGGTGATAGGGAACATACCAGCGAAGCAAGTTTGGAAGGGGGCCATCATTGGAAAAAACGCTGAAAAACACTGCTTTAAGCCTTCATCCAGGCTTCCCAGATCTGTGTCATGTTTAGAATAACAGAATTGTATCTATGGAAGGTTCCAGAAGTTTATTTCTTATAAATATGTTTCTATTTCACTGATGGTATGAAAATATAAATAAAACTATAGTTCTTTTTTATGAAAAAATATAAACATTCATCTGCTGATATCACAAAGCACATTTGTATAGTAAAGGTTATGAAAAGTCCTGTAGCAAAGAACATTGTAACACTTGTTGGACTAATAAACCTCTTAATATTGAAACTTATTTTGAAAAATTTTTGAAGCTATGTTTAACAGATATATGTGGCTCTAGGTCTGTCTAGTAACAAGACAATTTCTGGTTCCCCTGTCTAACAACTGTAGACAAAATAAATTGATGTAGAACTGAAATAGAAATAGGACCTTCAGATTTTCAACAACCAAGCAATAAATTAATCTGTATATTTTACATTAATTAAAGAAAACCAATTTTTCAGAGTCATATTTTAAGTCAAATTAACAACAACAGCAGCACAGTCTTTATTAAAATATCAGCTGTCAATGGAACTGCAACCCAATTATTTATCTTTTCATATGTGCAAGGTAAAATAGACAACAAAATGATTACCCAAATATTCCAAGTTACTTTCTCTTTCCACAATAATATAATTTTGCCTTTTCATGTGTAGATCACATAAGCTTGTTGGATTTGAATGAAAACTTGTAGGAGAAAATGAGAGAAAATCATTGGCAAAGTTATCGTAATTCTCCACTCAGCTGTTTTAAAGTGTGTTTTAAAGTTGCTTTATAACAATGGATATTTCTATATTTTGTAACATATTAATAAATTGGGCCTTGGGTATAAACAATCTTTTTACCACATCTGAAATACAAAATATACAGAATATTATATGACACGGTACATTAAAGTTTCATCAATCAATGTTGTATTTCCAGTTACCTAATTTCCAAGGGGGAAAAATACTGTGTACTAAGTACTATATTTAAGTACTTGTATCAAAATCTCCTGAAAATCCGTTTGCCCAGACATAAAATATCTTCTAACAAAGCATACAACTTTCTTCCTAACTTCAAACATCTCCATTAATTTGGTTGAAATGTGCTTACACTTGTAAAGGGGAAACCTAATATAGTGGAACCCATCTGAGATTATCCTATTTGACCCTATCTGAGATTATGCATGTCAATTTTTTAAAAAGTGTTAAGACTCAAGCCAACGTATAACATGACACATTCAGATTTAAATGTGAACACCACTGCCTATTTCATTCTTTTCACCTGAGAACCAGAAAAACAGAAATGTACAAAATTTTCCTTTTCTGAAACATATTGGCAAATATGTCACACAGCAATAGAATATGAATCAAAGAGAACACATTCGAACACTTTATCTTCCTAAAATCTGGTGGGAAAGTAGCTGTTATTGGACTTTTAACACTAAGATGTTAGAATGGACTTTCTCTTCACTCATTGCATTTAATTTAGTGGTCAAAAATGAATGCTTTCAAGGAGTTCTAACAGCAGTGCCTTACCAGTGTAGATGCTGGCATTGGAAGCTGGAATACCAAACTGTGACTCGATGAACTTGGGAATGAAGGTAATGAAAGCAGTTACAATGGCACTCTCAGCTGTGTATGACAAACTCACAAAAAGGAATGTCATGTTGCTTAAGATCCTGACAGCTGCTCTTGGTAGGTCTATAAAATGACAAAAATGACAAATGAATGTTACAAACAAGTGATGGAGAATAAAATAAAAGAAAACTGAATTGTTTTCTGAAGTGAACTGGACATAGCCACTCAGTAATATTTGAGAATATTGAATAGATACAGGATTTAAAAAAATTAAAAATCTGATAGCTGATAAGAAAGTATCACTTTTATGAAGATAATGGATTTTTTTCCAACTGGGATAAAAAAATTAAAGTACCTAAAAAACATACCTATACACATATACCCTTACAAGATGGATCCAAGAGATGACTCCTGATTTTAAAAGTTTAAAAGAAAGTATTTGTATTGATTAAAGCAACATTGCTTTTCTGTCAATATCCCACAGTCTATTAAATGCAACAGATACCTGCAATATGGTTTAAAATTACAGTTTCCCTTTACCTATCACTTTACCTGAGAAAATGTACCTCTGAGTTGCTATCTCTCTTTGTAGACAGCCACCAGAGAAGAATATATATTGAGTGCTTGCTCTTCTAACCTCATTATGAAAAATGGAAAATTACAGCTAAGATACCAGAGATAATACAGGGACCTATGTGCTTGCCTTGCACACAGCCAACTCTGTTCAATTCCAGGCAACAGATAAGGTGCCCTGAACACCACCAGGAGTGATCACAGGCTCAGTGCCTGGTGTAAGCCCTGGGAGAGCTGGGAGAGTCTCTCTCCAAAAAAGACGGGCAAAAAATAATTACAGGTAGAAGATTTCAAGTACAAAACTCTGGAATCAGACAATCCCAGGTACTTTGAACTGGAAAACAGAGAAATGATCTCCAAACTAGCTGGGAAGTCAGAAGCAGGGGCTTAGCACCAACTTACCAACTGCTTCTCCTGGAAAAGAAAAAAAAATCTCAGCCAGGAATTTAGGTGTCAGTTTCATAAAACTTGCAACACATGCCTCAAGCTGCATGTGCAAAAGTTTTCATTGCAGCATTGCTTGTAACTGCAAAAACTGAGACTAAATAAACTAACTAAATAGACTAACTAAATAAATGCCCGTTCGTGATAATGTTTAAATTATGGTATGATCACTTAATGGAGTATTCTGCAGTAGTTGAAAATGAAATAGAGCGTTATGAACTGACATAAAAGGAAAATCAAAAAATATTTTAATAGTGAATACATCAAAATCTGCAGAAGTTTAAATATGTGTAATAAAAAATAAATAAATATGTGTAATATGTGTATGTAAATATATGTATAATAGTTAAGAAGTTAGATAAAATAATAAACTGAAACAAATCTAAACAAATATATTCGACTGTATACAGTCAAATGTGCAATACTCAAAATGTATGTTACTGGACATTTTGTGAAAACAGAAAAATATTGGGGGGAAAAAGAATGAAAGGAGATTCTTGTGTATATATTTTTATATTTTTGCATGTTTAAAATATAAATTAATTTACATTCATATAGTCTTTATAAGTTTTCATAGAGAAGATAAACTGAATTTTTTGCCATGTGTAGTCATCTCAACTACCAGAAAAGTTATCTCCTCATATATTTTAGCATAATAAAAATCATTTCATAAAAGTTAAACAACTATTTTTAAAGCTATAATTTATAGTTATTCAGTAGAATTTAAAACTTAGGGATTAAGACTATAACATATCATTGTAGTAAAAATAAATTAATTGCAATGTTTTATATCTTAATTTAATTGTTTAAAGCTTAAGTAAACATTTTAAATGATAAATTAAGAATATTTTAATATGAATAACACATCAGAAAAATTATTACCATGTAATTCATTAAATTGCCCAATGTTCTCCTGTAAACACTGCAAATCAAAATGCCATTATACAAAATTTAAAAACTAGAACATTAATATTTCTTATTAACATTGTATATACAAATTATTTAACTGGTATGTTAAAAGTCAATGTGTTACATCTAAAACATCTGGGGTAAATATAAAATAAAAATTTAATCCAATAAAATAATACATACTCATAAGAATCCTAGTTAAATAAAAAAGTTTTTATTTAACTATAAGAAATGTTTTCTTTTACACTCTTTTAGTACAATAAAATACCATGTAATTTCAAGAATAACTAAAAATATATGTGATGTTTCCTCTATTACATTAAAAAAATAAAAGCTTATTGTTCTTTAAGAAGTTAACAAAAGCATAGACTTTCAACAGTTTTATTTTTTCAACAGTTTTAAATTCACATCCTTCTTTCTTCTGCTTTTTTCATTCCTTTCATTGGAGTTAAATTTCCAGCCCACCTGCCTTGCATGAATGGGGGCTAGGTATAGGACTTTGGTTGGTGCAGCTAGAATTCGTTTGCACAGGAGAAATGGACAAATCAGTGGAGCCAGAGGACTCTGGGAATCCTTCTAATTGACAGAGAAAAAAGCTATAAAAACAGAAAAGCAACAATGGGTATAAATTGGAACTAGAGGGGCTGGAGCGACAGTACAGTGAGTGGGTAGGGCCTTTGCCTGGTACATGGCCAATCAGGTTCAATCCTGGCATCCCACAGGGTCCCCTGAGCCTGCCAGGAATAATCCCTGAGCACAGAGCCAGGAGTAAGTCCTGAGCACAACCAGCTGTGATCCCAAAACAAAACAAACAAACAAACAAAAAAAAAAACAAATAGATTGCAACTGGAGGAATGAGCTCATGGGTAAAATAGATTAATAGTTCATAGGATATGAGATGGGCCGGAGCGATAGCATAGCGGGTAGGGCATTTGTCTTGCATGCGGCTGACCCGGGTCCGATTCCTCCGCCTCTCTCAGAGAGCCTGGCAAGCTACCGAGAGGATTCCGCCCTCACAGCAAAGCCTGGCAAGCTACCAGTGACGTATTCGATATGCCAAACACAGTAACAAACAAGTCTCCACAATGGAGACATTACTGGTGTTTACTCGAGAAAATTGATGAACAACAGGAGGACAGGGACAGCGACAGGATGCCAGATAGATGATAAATAATAGATATCTGTGCACATACACATATTTAATAACTTACTAATAGGTTTTAGAGGTATGCTGAATAACTATGTAAAGAAAGACTCAAATAATGGGTGATGTCACAAAGACACAGAAGGCAGTCTGGGGGTATCCTAACAATTTGAGCCTATTGAATACTAAAAGGGGTAATTGAAAGCTTGATATGAACAAGAAACAGTCAACCCTTACTATTCACAGGTTTAGAATTTATAAACTCAGGGCTGGAGAGATAGCACAGCGGGTAGGGCGTTTGCCTTGCATGCGGCCGAACCAGGTTCAATTCCCAGCATCCCATATGGTGCCCGCAGCACCGCCAGGAGTAATTCCTGAGTGCAGAGCCAGAAGTAACCCCTGTGCATCTCCAGGTGTGACCCAAAAATCAAAGAAGAAAAATAATAATAATAGAATTTATAAACTCGCCAGTCACTAACATGTATTTGTAACCTCAATACTAGCAGAGAATGGTCATTTCAGTATTTATGAAGAGTAACCAAAAGGATAAAAAAATATAAGTCCCTGTACACACACACTTATGGCTAATATTTAGCCCCCTTGTCTCAGTTTATATGCTGTAAAGCAGTGTACTTTTTACAGTATTTTGTCAAATCTTTTGCATCTTTGTGCTTCTGTGTTTTTGACTCTAATTGTTCGAAATGGTCGGAGTCCACGGTAGGGTGAGGTCAGCATGCATAAAGAGGACCAGCTCACACCAGTGACCAGTGTCACCACACTGCTGGGCCTCTGAATTGTTCTGCTGTCACGACTCTCTTGCCTACCCAGTGGCCTCCACAGCAGAGGGGGCTTGGCTAGAATCTGACTGAGCTGTTTATGGACATTTGTCTAAACATTCATGGGCTAATCTTGTTACAGTGGCTGCTGCCATTTTGTATTAAACATCATGTGACTCAAATAAATTGGGACAGAAAAGTTATACAAGGGCTAAGATACTTTCCTTGCATGTGGACAACTCTGGTTTAATGTCCAGCACCTCATATAGTTCTTTCATTTATTTATTTATTTATTTATTTATTTATCTATTTGCTTTTTGGGTCACACCTGGCAATGCACAGAGGTTACTCCTGGCTCTGCGCTCAGGAATTACTCCTGGTAGTGTCACGGGACCATATAGGGTGCTGAGAATTGAACCTGGGTCGGCTGCATGCAAGGCAAAAAAGCTCTACCCACTGTGCTATTGTTCCAGCCCCTCATATAGTTCTTAAGCACTGCCAGAAGTAACTCCTGAGCACGGACAGGTGTGGGCCCCATACAAAACAAAAAAATAAATAAATAAAATGCCACTCCCACCTTGCCAGCATTGTGCTGGTTTTGTCCATTGTTCCTAAGTATAAGAAGCTTGTGATGTGCTTTCAGGGGAAAAAAAAAGTATTAAATAAGCTTTCTTCAGATGGAAGTTATAGAATTGCCGTTGAAGGGGTTATAATAACACAGTAATATAAGATAAATAAGACATCTCTAAACAGAAACACACAAAACAAAATTTTGTATTGATTGGCTGATGATAATATTGTGACAGCATCTAATGTAGTATTTCCTCCAGAGTGATGGCTTAGCATTCACAGAATTCAGTGTTACTGGTAACTTTATAGAGACTACTGCCAAAAAGAGGAGAATCAACTGTATTTACATAGTTCAAAGTATTTTCTTGTGAGGTACTTGTAAGTAATTCACTTAGAACTGCAATACACACACACACACACACAGAGAGAATTGAACTACATACATATATATATATATAAATTTTTTAGTAGAGAAAGCTGCCACATATAGTCTTATCCAAAGTGACAGAGATTCAGCTAAAGCAGAGCATCTTAACATTTTGTGGGCTCTGTTATAGAGCACTGAGCCCAGTATCAAGTTGATAAATGCCTGCAAAAGTGCACAAGTCAGAAAAGGACATCATCAAAGCCAAACTGAGAGACATCCATACAATCACTCCTTATTCTTATCTAAAATAGCCAGATCAGAATCCAGAAAAACAGTAACA